CGGCCTCAAGGGGTCTACCCTGGGGATCAGGGGCATCCTGGACCAGGACACGGCGGCCGCGCCAAGAGGGCCAAGGGGGCTGCGCAGGCGGCTTTGAAGGCGGAGGTTGCCTCGCAAGGGGTGCTAAGGAGAAGCTCGCGGCCGCCGAGTCCCAGGTCGCCGCTCTCCAGGCGCAGATCAAGTCCGACAAGGGCGGCGGGGACCGCGGCGGCCGCGCAGCCGCTGGGCGCAAGCCGTGCCCCCACTGCAATGGGTTGCACGGTGGCAAGTGCATCGGCGACCTCATCTGCAAGGGGGTCCCTGTCGCCAAGGTGCTCGAGGAACTCCCCGACCGCATCGACCACGAGACGAAGGTGCGCATGGCCCAGTCCTCGTACAAGAAGGTGTGCGCCAAGTCCCCCGGCCGCACCCTCCCGCACGACCCCTTCAAGAAGTCGGACTCCACCGCGACCGACCACGAGGAGGTGCGGGCGGCGCTGGCCGACTCTGTCACCCGCACGTTCGACCCGGACGGCATCGTCGGCGGCTTTGTCGCTGGCGTCGGCACCGACCAGGTCGAGGACACCTTCCCCGACTCCAACCCCACCGACACGCCCGCCATCCTCAAGGCCAAGACGGCGGCGCGCAATGCGGCGGAGGCACGGGCGCGCGGCGGGCTGTGGGTCAAGTTCACCTCGTTCGTCACCGCGCTGCCTCGCCCGTACATCGGCGCTTCCATCCTACTCGTCCTGCTCGCGTGCCTCATCCCGGTCTACATGGGCTCGCCTGCCTCGATCGGCACGCCTGTGGCCGACGCCGTGGACGAGCCCTCGAACATGGGCGTGATGGTCGAGTCCGTCACCGCACTACCCCTCGAGCTGTCCACCGGGCCGGCGACTGGCTCAGGTGGCGGAGCAGAGTACGCCATCGAGGAGGACCCGCTCCAGCCGATCTACCGCAAGGTCGCGAGTCGACAACCGGCAGTATGGGCGCTCCTGGTGGGCCGCGTGCCTCGCTGCTACTGCCGGCTCCTTTGTGAGGCTCAGCCCTGCCGGTCGTCGGCGCCGCCCTTCCGATGTCCTGTGCGTGTTGCTTGACTCCGCCCTGGTGCCGCCTCGCTGGTATGCCCTTCGCGACGGCTGTGCGGGCGGCTTGCTGGGGCAGTTCGCGGAATAGCACTCGCTGCCATCTCCTCTCCGGAGATTCGCCCAGTTGGACCCTGGCGTCCAGGCGGACTCGAGGTGGAAGCTCCGGCGGTAGAGGCGGACGACTGGATTGTCGCCACCGTTTTTTTACAGTCAGAACGGTATCAGGCCCACCCCCAGAGTGTGGGTCTATCGGCGGCCTCGTCCAGAGCTGATCTGGCGGGGGAGCTTATCCGTACGAGCCACTCGCCCGCGTCCTCCGCTGTGGCTTCATCTGGCGGGGCCAGGGAGGGGATTCTCCTCCTCTCATCTCCTGGCGGCCAGCGTTCGTCTGCTGGCTGGTTGTGGTCTGCGGCCCGGAAAGGGCCGGTGGTCTGAAGAACCGGCTCGATCCCTGGCGCCTAGCCGAGTCCCAGTCCGCCACACGAGGGCGGCGGCGCAGGAGCTGCGACACCTTCCGGCGGGTCGTGCCGTAGAAAGACTGAGGCAGCGGACAATATGGCGTCTGTCTCAGCGCGTCGAGCGCCTCAGGGCACTTGTGTCGAGGAGGGAGAAAACAATTGTATCGGGCAGTCTCCAAGTGAACGCCGCCAAGCTGCTGTAAGAGCCTCTCCCGTCGCGGCCCGACTGGGGCCGAGTCCGCGGGGGCTCGCCAGGGGCTCGCACGGTGCACGGGCCGACGCTAGAGCACGTACTGTGCGCGCGGGGGCGAGTGACTTCGAGAAGTCACTAAGTGACTTCTTGAAGTCACTCCTACAGATAGACACTTG